TTTGAGAAATCAGATTGGCGATTCTTCTGGACATCGAGGCCTAATGCGCTTTTGAGAACCTCGTCCAGCCAACATCCTGTTTCCCCCCCAAAATTAAGAACAAAATGCTACCTTGGCCCCAAAGACAGATGGATCAAATGAAACTGCTTGACGTTTGCAACATTCCAGTCCTCATGATTGAAAAGTTCAGCAAATGGGCTTCCTGGATCCTCTCTCTCTCTCTCTCATGTTCTTGCACAGACAGATGTGCATTTCTCCAGAAGGGCCTGGCTGTCCGGCTTCCCCTCCCGTTTCTGGTGCAAGGATGCTGAATTCTGTCTGAACCGAAGGCCGACAGTGGGGCAAAAGCAGGGCTGTCAAAGAAGACCAAGCAGCCCAGCCTTGCGTAGTTTATATCTCCCCCTGCATTACCAGGACTGGCAGGGGGGAGTTTTAACAAAGCAAAATTCGAGCACCCTCGCTATTCGCTGGTTCCGATTTAAGCCAGCCCCGTTGGAGAAAAGCATGCAGGAAAACGGGGTAAGAAAAAGTATTTATTTATTTATTCATTTATTAAGTTCTGGTGTTTTACAAACAGAGTTTTTTTTTACTCTTGAGAAGCCTTGGCGCAATTTTTTAAAAATCGCAGCACAGCCACAGATAAACAGACATCTAATTTTTTTTCTGGACGTGATCGGTCGTCTTGTGAACGCCACGGAAGAGCCCACGGAATCGGAGTCGAAAGGCAGCGGACGGGGGCTCCCACAGGGGCCATAGCCGGGAGGAGCCCACCAACCCCGTGCCAAAACACCAACTCAAGCAGGCCTCACATCAGCTGGAAATCCCCCCCCCTTTCCCTGAATGTGGGAGCCCAGACTTCGATCAGTGTACAAATCAACGACGTCCCTTATAGGTAGTCCTTTTCAAGGAAAGAGTTGTATTTTTTTCCCCTCTCCATCTATTTTACATTTTATGTAATGCTCTGGGTAGAATACTTCATACACTGCTCGGAAAGGAGGCAGCGAGGGAGGAAGAATAAAAGGGGAAGAGCTACTTCTAGCCAGGTGAATAATACAACGGTCTCCGCTCACGGAGGCATCTGCGTTCGCTTTCTCTTTTAAGTCACAAGGGTATTCATAAATTAAAAGAAAGAAAAGACTAGTTGGAAGCACCACAGAAAAGGAGGAGGAACAAGGGGGGAGGGAGGGAGGAAGAAGAAGAGAAAAAAGAAATAAGAAAGAAAAAATAAGAGAGGGAAGAAAGAAAAGGGAGGGAAATGATTTCACTGTAGCTTGGCTCACATCTTCAGAACGCGCACATAGACAGGCAGACCCACAAAGATACCTATCAGAGGGCAACAGAGCCCCACTGAAAACTTCCGCCTGGGCCCCGTCTGGCTCCTCAACAAACACCAGCCATCACACCAGAAACAGACCCCTCTGAACAAAGCCACCCCCCCACTTACCCCCACTTGCAAAGAACCCTGCCAGATCCCCCCAATTGGGCACAGCCAGGCTTTTCCGATGCAGTGGCACAATAGTTTTGGAACTGCTGCCCGACACTGCAGGGGTGTGTGTGTCTCTCTCTTTCGCAGCCTTTGGTCAGACTCCACCACCACGCCTGATTTTCCTCAAATCGAGAAAATTACGCTTCAGCAAAGTTGGAAAACAAGGACACCAACTTGTTGTATCATTTGCCTATCAACACCCATTGTGGAGTGTCAAGAATTTATGCCACAGAGAAGAGAGATTCCTGCACACAAGACCCCCCCTCCCCGGGCACGATGGGGCCAGGCGCACCTTTGGGGCCGAGGTTCGCTTTCACGCAGAGACGCCCCCCTGAATTCTGAGACCTGCAAAGCCAGGGGGAGGTTTGAGCAGACGGGAAGCACGGACAGGAACCAGGCTGGAACGGGACTAACTCGCCACAGCCAACTCACAGTTAATTATTTAAAACCATCATTTTAATTTTTGCCATTCACATTTAATTCCGTCCCTCCTTTGGCATCCTTTGTTTAGTGGTTCTATTCCACCCTTTCTTCAATATTAGTGTAACTCTTGTCCCGCAGCGAGGTGGCTGCGATGAGTTGGCCGCGGCGGGTTTTCCTAGACCCGGACGAGGCCGCCGTCCCGATCCAGCCACAAGGTCCCTGGGAACGCAGCAGCAGCAGCAGCAGCATCCCTGTTGGGAGGCGAACATGAAAAGCAAGACCAAAACGGCAGGAAACAGCACGACGGGCCTCCCTCCCGTTTCCTTCATTCCGGCTCCTGGGCGTCCCAAGCGGTGCTGAGCCTGCTGGCCCTGGGACAAAACCCCCCATCAGATTTCTTCAAGGGCTTTTAAGAGGGCCAGCGTCTCGCTCTCACGTATGCCGGGAAACACCCAATCCAGACGAAGCCAAGACGATGAGGACCGGCAGAGTGAGCCTTGCTTTGACTCAGTCCTCCCAAGATTAGATTACAGAAGCTGGAACAAAAGAGGGGGGGGGGGAAGGCTCTGCAGAAAAGTTACAGCAGAAGCAAGAGAGACACGCAAACGACCTTTGTGGCTTCCCTCCCCCCCCCCCCCAGTGTTGAAGGGAGGTTGGGATTATTGTGGTGAGCACCACCCAGCCCAGATGAGAAGCCGATTTAAGCAGCGTCGCCTTCAAAACAGGCCCCTGAGCAAGGGAGCATCCCCTAAACCAGGGCTCTCCAACTCTGGCCACTTTTAAAACCTGTGGACTTCAACTCCCAGAATTCATGCTGGCTGTGGACTCCTGGGAGTTGAAGTCCACAAGTCTTAAAGTGGCCAAGCTTGGAGAGTCCTGCCCTAAACCCCTTACCAGATCACCCAGGCACAGAGACCCCAAGGAAAGAGCAACCCTCTGCAGACCCCCTCCCCAAGCACCCGGAAACTCTCAGAGATTGTTGCTTCCTGCTCTGTGTATCACATCACAACCCACCCACCGGGCCAGCCGAGAGAGGCTGCCGGAGTCCCCTTCCCCACCCTGCCGTCCACCCTGGAGAAGCAGATGGGCTTGAGATGCGTAACAGCCCTACGCTGGGCATTGCTACATCAGCTGGGGGGGGGGGGCAAAAGAAGACCCACCAAAGAAGGGCGAGCCTTGAAGGAGGTCTAGCTTGACCAGTGCATTGCCCACCCACCCCTGGCTCACTTCCAAAAGCTGGATGGGGCACCCTGTTTCTCCTCTGAAGAAGATGTGGTAGAAGCTGGAAAAGCAGCCAGGGTGGGTCGTTCCAAAGCTCCATTCAGCCCCCCCCCCCCAAAAAAAATCATCCTCTTCATCCTGCTTCCTCTTGAGGGAGACCTGGGCCAATCCAGGGATCCCGGAGAGGAGACAATCCTTTCGAGAAGTCACTAAGCATCCGAGAGGGAGGGAGGATTGTGGGGGGGGGGGGCAGAGGTCAGGATATCCCCCTAGGCTGAAATCCCACCCCCCAAGTGCCCCCCTGCCTCTCCCCAACAGCAAAGAGCCAGCTGACTCTAAACAAACTGGTTTAATCTGGTGCAAAAACGCATCATTGGAAGTTCTAGAATTTATCGTTTCAAGGAAAAAGAAAAAAAAACCAAGGAAAAAAAAACAAGCGTGGAATTTCAGGAGGACTAGAAACTTGATCAAATCTGTGGCCAGCCAGACCTCGTTCCAGAGAGTTAGTTGGCTTGGAAACAGCCCTGGATTCTTCCTGATTAACATAATCGGTTTCTTCCCAAAAGTATCAGTTTTCCCACAACTTATTTTTCTAATATTTTTTTTTAAGAGAAAGAGATAACTTTAAAAAAAAAAAAAAAAAAAAAAAAAAAAAAAAAAAAAAAAAAAAAAAAAAAAAAAAAAAAAAAAAAAAAAAAAAAAAAAAAAAAAAAAAAAAAAAAAAAAAACCGCACAAATTTGGAACAGTTCAAAAAAACCTCTTAAGTCCAGGACAGAAAGAAAGAAAGAAAGAAAGAAAGAAAGAAAGAAAGAAAGAAAGAAAGAAAGAAAGAAAGAAAGAAAGAAAGAAAGAAAGGGGAGGGAAAAAAACAACAACGTTCAAGTACAACAAAGTATTGGTCTGCATTGGAGGCGAAAAAAATAAAATAAAATAAAATCATACGTTCAGGAAGGAAAACGGCATCGACAACAACAACAAAAAAAAATCAATTGTAAAAATGAGACATTTTTTTTTAAAGAAAATGAATGAGGAGTTTCTCTGAAAGGAGATCTTAAGTTCCGCTTATTACTGGAGGGTTAAAACGTCATAAATAAAAAGGAGGCTTTAGGCAGCGTCTTCCTTCCTTCGGTGGGAGGGACCCAGCTGGTCTCGCTTCCTGGTTTAACAAAAGACAGGGAGAGCAGCGGCATTTCAACCCTGCAAAAAGGACAGGAAGAGAGAGGCCTTTTAGAGGAGAGGCACCCCGACTTTGCATCCTTCCTTCCGTGCCTGGAGAGAGGAGATTTACTCGGGCTCTGACACAACCTCTGGACGGCTGAACTTTCCCGAGCGTTGGCTTCGATTCCTGCCTCCGGTTCAGGTCTCCAAGAACATTTTATGGTATCATACACTGCCCGGAGCCCCTCTGTGAGGGAGCTGGGGGGTTCTTAAATATGATAGATAAATGAAAAATTAAAAAAAAACAGGACTGTGCTGGGCAGAAGTCCAAAGGGAAATGACAAGATGATGGAAACCTTCGTAAAATCTCCTCTCCCTCCAATTTTAGAGAGACCCCCCCCCCCACCTTAAGGAGATCTCTGAAACACAACACTGGACAGGAAACCTCCATTTGGGGGCTTTAAGATGACCAATTAATATTGCCCTTTCCTGAGGACTAGTAGCTTGGGTTTGTGAAACACCACCCTCAGATAAGGATCTCAGACCAGACTAATATTGCCATTTCCTGAGGACTAGCAGCTTGGGTTTATTAAATTTTTCTCTTCCTAGGATCTTTTCATCGGAGACGACGAAAACTACCCCTGGGGCCCCAGACTCGCCCTTTGCCGCTGGTTACGGTCAGTCACAGGGGAGCCCGGTCATCTAGACTTGCCTTCCTCACGAGGAAGCTCTCGCTCTCGTCTCATCTGAAGGTTTTCTGCTGGTGCATCAGACCGACGTTCTCATAAACTCGCGTGGTGTTGTCCTCCCTCATCCTGGAAAGTGCGGCATATAAGGAGAAACTCGGAATAAGAAGAAGCCCGCCCCCTCCAACACCCCAGGGAGCAGTGGAGAGAAGGGATGGGCGGCGAGCCCACTACTCACTCGGGACAGGTCGGAGTGGGAGTACACGGTGGGAGAGGACTTTGGTCTCCGCTGGCCTGATCCGCTAAGGAGTATTTGATGTTGGTGTACTCGTGTCCTTTCCGCTTGCTCTTCTGAAAGGGAGGGGGGGGGAGAATCACTGCAAGGCGCTCTTGCTACGTCTCAAAGAGCCCCCCCCACCCAAGTCCACCACTTCTCCACCCCCCACCTAACACAAGGAGGCTCGGTTGGTTCAGGATTGCAGAGGTGGGGAAACAGCCCCCCCCCGTGGCTTCTTCTGATGGGTGAACTCGGTTTATCCCAGGCTAGATCTTGGCCAGCCCCCAATCCGACACTTTAGCAGGGTAGCCACTGGGTAAGAAAGCTGCCGTCTCTCCTACGGGCCACCGAGAGATGAGAGGGCGGCAAATACACCTGGTGTGTGTGTGTGTGTTCTCTGTCTTTCTCCAGCTGGCAATTCTTCTTGGCCAGCTCTCAACCGACTCTCAACCCCAGCTTTCAACCCCACAGCCAAAGAGACCACCTCTCCTGCTGGGTAGGCCAGAGGTATCCGTTCCTGAGGGGGCCTGGCTGCTTTATGAGCTGGGAGGTTTTCTTGCAGATGATTCATCGTCCAAACGAGCTGACGTCATCAGCGCTAGTCACTAGACTTGACTAGCACTAATGGTGTTACCTAGACGGGTCATGAAAGGTCTGCAAGAAAACCACCCAGCTCAGAGGGCACCCAGGACCCCTCCTCTCAACCCTGAGCTAGAAATCTCTTCCTCTGAGGGTACCTGCTCCTCCTCAATCCGGCGCTGCAACGTCTCAATGTAATGCTGGACTGCCATGTAAATGAACCGGTATTGGGCCTCTGTCTGCACCATCCCTGACCGCTGTGACCTCACCATCTGGATGGTCTTTGGGACGTCGATGTCGCAGTCCACCCCTGGAGGAGAGAGGAGAGGGAGGGAGGGAGATGGGCTCAGCTGGAGAGCACGAGGAAGGCCCCCTTTGTCGGAGGACACGCGTGGGGAAGGCAGGGTCACTCGAGTTCTCCAACCACATGGATTCCTCTAGGGAGAGTCTCCACCATCCAGGTCACGGTTCTCCCAAAAGGCAGCTGGACTTTCTTGTTTTGTTTTTCCCTCTGAAAGCCTTTCGCTTCTCATCCAAGGAGCTTCAGAGAAGAAAAGCAAGGGAGTCCAGTTGCCTTTTGGAAAAAGCACCACAGGGATGGGTTAGAATCGTGGTTTCCAAGCAAGCCATCAGGCCCTCGGCACGGCCATCTCATCCCATCAACGATGATCCAGAAAGCACCATGGCTGGGCTCACTTCATGCCCAAAACTCAAAAGCCCCGACTGTGCCCAGGGCAAGATGTACACCACACTCACCACCCCTGAGCTACTCCACACATTATGAGACTACAACTCCCAGCAGACCTTGCCTACTGGGGGTGACCAGGCCACCCGGCACCCCTGAGCTACTCCACACATTATGAGACTACAACTCCCAGCAGACCTTGCCTATTGGGGGTGACCAGGCCACCCGGCAATCGATGGGTGCACTCCGCGCACAACCGCCGGCCAGGGCTGTCTCCTCAACCTTGGAGGTGAAGCAGCCGGTCTGTTGGGACTCACCTTTCTCACGGATGACGTCAATGAGAATATCGATCACAATGAAGGTCCCAGTCCGACCGATTCCGGCACTGTGGAGTGGGGGGAGAGAGAAACCATCACACGCGTTCGAGTCCTGTTCCTCCTCCTCCTCAGATTGAGCAACCTTGCCCCATCACTGCCAGGCTTTCAGTTTTCCCTGCAGTGTTTCTCAACCTTGGCTGCTTGAAGCTGGGTGGACTTCAACTCCCAGAATTCCCCAGCCAGCAGGAGCTGGAAGTCCACAGGTCTTAAAGTGGCTGAGGTTGAGCCATGCTACTCTGCTGTTACCTGCAATGGACGACGACCGGACCAGCATCGGCAATGCTCTCCTGCTTGTGGTGCACCTCCTCTAGGAAGTCCAGGACGCCGCCAGGATCGCTGGGCACCCCGTGGTCAGGCCAAGCCCGGAAGTGATACTGCCACACCGTCCGCTCGGTGTTGCCCTGGAAGAGAGGCCCCCGCATCCCCCGGAGATGTTTTGAGGAGCTGCCTTGGCCTTCAAAATCGGCAGAAGTGGGGGAGACCCACAGGCCCACCCCAAAACACAAGAGCGGCCTCTTCCAGAAACGTACCTGCCCAACTTTGGAGAGCTTGAGCTCCCGCAGCGTGTAGTCGTGAGCTGTGCTCTCTTTGACGTTACGGACACGCATCACGCCGTATTCCTTCAGGGCGTGCTCGTCCGGCCAGTACTTCACGCATTTGCTCTGGAAGACCAGGAAGGGGGTGGGGTGGGAGGGGAGGAGGAGGGCAAAGGCTTCAGGTCTAATTCGAGTGGCCAAAGTGGGGGGTGGGGAGGGCAGAGGGCGATCTGAAAAGGTGAGGTGCAATGCTGCCGCCAAGCACACAGCTCAGCAAGCAACCTTCAGAAAACCAGGGCAAACAGGGAGACCGAGATTAGGTGACAGTGAGATTGTAACAGGGCTCCACGACACGAAGTACCCGTGGGGTGGGGGCAGAGTGGGGTGGGGGCTGTGGAACGATCCGTGGAATCCCTGGAAAGGCTTCCCTCCAGGAGCTGTGGGTGCTCCAACACTGGAGGTTTTTAAGAAGAGACTGGGCAGCCACTTGTCTGAAAGGGTATAAGGGTTTCCTGCCTGAGCAGGGGGTTGGACTAGATGACCTCCCAGGTCCCTTCCAGGCCTGTTATTCTGACTGCTTTTCCCAAAAGGCCCTTGCAGGCCCTCCCAGAATGAAACCCCGCCCTCCGCCCCCACCCAGCTGCTGCTCTCCCGCCTGGCTGGAGACCAAAATCCAGCTTCAGAGCAGCTTCTAAGTGCTGCCAAGGGCTCCTTGGGTCATCCATCCCAGCTTCTCCAGAGGGCGCCAGGTTGGAGCAGGTGCTGCGCTGCACCCTCCTCCTGGCTTTGGGGGGGGGGAGGCGGGGGAGAACATCCGGCCCATTTAACCAAAATTGCCCTTCCTGGAAAAAAGCCAGCTCTCCCCCCCTCCCCCCCGCCAATCCAGGGGTTTGTTCTCCCCCTGCCACCCCCGGCCTGGCCTGCGCCCATTACGCAAATTCCGTTGGGGAAGCCCCTCTTCCCCACTCAAATCGCCCCCTCGTTTCCCAGGGTGGTTGACTGACACAGAGAGGAGCCCGGAGGTCTGCGCAGGGTGTGGGTAGACAAAGGCCCAACCATCCAGCTCCGTTCTCCCGGCCAGGGGAGCAAAGTGCTTCTTGGAAAGGAGCCCAGGGAGATTTACAAGGAACAGATGGTCCCCCCTCTGACTGACACAAAACACAGACGACTCAGCACGCTGGGCTCTGGCCCCCCAGCACCCTGTCAGCCCCCCCCCAATGCTGCTATCAAGCGTCTCCCCAAGAGCCTCCGGTACCTTCCTTCCTTCCTTCCGCTCTGCCCTCCCTGCCCCTCCCTGGCACCCTTTCCTCAAAATCCCCCCCCCCACCTGACTCTCTTTCCTTGCTGGGCTTCGTTTAGAAACAAATCTAGGGGTTCAAAGCCTTGTGAAAGGTTGTGGCTGTGTTCCCGAGTCTGGGCTGCTGAATGCATCAGGGTCCCCCATGTTTGTAGGGATCCAGAAGAGTCCAGACCCCCTGCTGTCATTCTCTCAGTGCTGCCTAAAGTCAGTTAACCCAGGTAGTGTGGCTGTAGCATTGTTACTCATGCTTCTTGTTATCTCCCCTACCTCCTCCTGTTGGTGTTATTATTATTACAATGATTATCGTTATTCTGTTGCTTTGCACGTACGCTGAGCGCTTTTGAGGCAAATCCCACTTGGCCAAATAAAGTATTCAGTTCAATTCGCTGGCTGAGCTGCCGTTCTCCCCTCCCCTCGATCCCGGGAGATCGGTGGATCCCCCCCCCATACACCAGCTCACCTTTCCCCTCTCCACTTCCTTGGTGGTCATGACGATCACCCGGGAATTCTCCTGGAAGACCATCCGCCAGAAGTCGTTCACCGTGTTCTGCAGGCAGCCCTGGGTGGCGATGTAGCTCTTCTTGCCCTTGGCGCTGTTGCACTTGTTCTCAAACTCTGGCTGGGAACCAACGGGAGCGTCGGCAGGTGCCCGGGACCCTCGGGAGAGCCGCTTCCCCCTTGGAGGAAAACCTCCCGGGCCCCTCCTGGCCTGTTTGGAGGAACTCGGCCTCCCCCCACCCCCCCGAGAAGAAAGTGGCATCCCACTAAACTCCCTCGGTAGGAGAGCGGCTGCCGAGAGAGGCCGGCCATCTTACCATGATGATGTTGGCATTGATGTAATCCGAAACCGGCTCGTTTGGATCACCGTCGTGAAGGATGACCCGGGTGTGGTCAACTGGAAAGCAACAAAAAAGACACACTCCTAATCCAGGGAACTGTCGTCAAGCAGCAACCGCAAACTCCGACTTGTCAGCAGCAATTCAGGCAGTCACCGGGAAGACTGCAGGAAGGAAGAGTCCTGGGTAGCCCCGGAGATGCTTTAACAGCAGAGGCTAAAACTGAGCCTGCAAATGTTTGCAAAGAAAGGGACCAACTGCCTGCCCCCCTCGCTCAGCCGTGCCCCTGCTGCAGGTATCATGGCTCCTGGGGGTCTCCAGCACATCGGCCCCACGGCAGATGCCAGGAACTCCACGTCACCAAGAGAGAATTCAGCTGCAGGAGACGAGGGTTCCAGCAAAATTTCAACTTTCAATAAAGGGGGGGGCAGCCAGCAGGCTACAGATAGCTCCCTGGGCTTCCTTCCCCCACGAGACCCAGTTGCCTCCAGGTTTGAGGGGTTTTCTGCTCAAATGCCAGCAATGCAGTCACAGAAGCAGGATATCCCACTGCTGTTTGCATAAAGCCGAGAAAAATGATATTAAGCCTTTAAAAATGGGAAGAACAGTTGGAAGGAAATCTTCACTGCCTGCCCCAAATGTCTACTTGCTAGTGGGTCTCTCCCCCTTCTCCCCCCCACCCGACCTCTGGTAGAAATGGGAAGGAGATCTGCACTCACAAGGCAAAATGTTTTTGTATCGGTTCTTGTTCTTGTTTTCCTGCCGCTGCCCTTCTTTCCGGCTGTAGAGGAGCTTACATTCCTGCTGCTGGAGGGTCTGGAAAAACAAGGAAGAGCGTCAGGAACCGTCTTTTGACCCCCCTCCTCAAGCAGGGGAAGAGAGAGAGACAGAAGGCAAGTTTTCCCCCTCCCACAGGCCTCTCCCCATCTGGATTACAATGCCCATCGCTTCTGGCCAGCCAGGTTAAAACAGGTGAGCTTTGCAAGATGACCAGGTGGAACAGGGGCGCCCCCTACTGTTCCTCTCCCAGCATAACACAGAGACGGGCTCTGCCCTCTGTGGGAAAAGCAGGGTAAATCTGGGGAGGCCACCCTGAAATTCAGGAGTTGTGTTTCCAGTTTCCTCTCCTCCCGACAGCAGCTCGCTCTGCCTCCAAGCAATTAAAGCCTCCGAGTCACAGACTGCCAGCAGGCAAATTCCTACGGAGGCACCCAGCTCCACCCACTAGGAGGGGTTTTTCAACTGGGGAATGCTGGGAGTTGAAGACTTACGCCCGGCTCTTTCCGTGCAACCAAAAGGGTTTTATCTATTTTTTTTATCTTGGTTTACATGCTGCTCCAAAGAATTTCTTGAAAACTCATATTCGGCTAAACCCCCAGGCATTTAGAAGTCTGTTGCGCCCCCCCCACCTCACCCCCCCAGCTCCCATAAGGACATTCACACTTCCCAATCCCAGGAAAGACAAGCAAGCAGCTCCTGGGTGAGGACAGAACGGATCCTCTCCCGAAAGTACCTCGAATTCTTCCCAAAAGCCTTGCTTCACTTTGTCGGTAGTTTCAGCCAACTTGCTCAGTTCTCGCACTCGGCTCTCAATCTCAGCTGCGTTGATGCGGGTAGTGTTGAGAGGCTGTGGGGGAGGGGAAGAGGGAGAGACGGGGAGGGGTCAAATAATGCACACACGCCGGGCACAAGGAATCAAGAATGACACAATGAATTGCTCGGGGTCGTTTCCTTGGTGCTGTTCGCCCGTAGACAGGAGGAGTCTGGCCGTACTAAAGACGACTCTGCACGGCTACGAAATAAGGCCTGTGAAGCTTTCGGGAGGATCCCTCCTGGTCCTCTCTCTGCAAACCAAGGAGTCAGGCCTGACCCGCCTCCTAGCGCCTTGGGAATCTCAGTGCCAGATTCCACCACCCACCGAAAGGAAGGGTCAAGCAGCCCCCAAGGATGGAGTCCAGCCAAGGGTCAGCTGGACTGGGATCAAAAGCCTCCAAATGGGACGTCAAGCAGCAGATTTTGCAAAGGGGGAAGGTCTCCCCCACAAATTACAACAGAGATGTCCCCGGCCTGGCTTGGCGTAAGGCAGATAGCCAGGAACCCCACGTGGTTCTCGCCCGCTTGGCAGGGGTGGAGAGGGGGAAGCAAGGGCAACTCCACACCCGAAAGCAAGCAGACATGAGTGCCCAGGCATCGTGACCATTTGCAGAGGCTGGTTTTGGAGTTGCAGGAGCAAAACTCAACCGCCGCCGGGCTTTCTCACCTGCTTCAGCTGAAGAACGGTCCCCAGAGTCTCCACCATGGGGTTCTTCTTGTAATGCTCAACGAGGTCCGTCAAGGAGTCAAACTTCTCCCCTCCTCCAACGTCATACTTCAAGTCCTAAGGAGGGAGGGAGGGAGGTGGGGGGCTAGTGAGTGTCACTGTCCACGCGAGGCAGTGGCCTCCTAACCAAGACGTGCCATCAAGAGAACGGGCGCTCACCTTCCCCACCTCTGAACTGAGGCAGAGACTCCCGGCACAAAGGCTTCCGGCCCACCTCCCCGCCACGCACTGGCCTCCCTTCACCTCCCTCCCCGCGCTGTTACCTGGCAACGGATCATGACGTGCGTGACTTTGGACTTCCCATCGTTGCTCTCGCCTTTGTCATCCCCGGTCCGGACAGAAAGGACGAAGTCTCCGGGATGGCTTTGGCTCTCGCGGACTAAAAAGCTGCCGTGCTTCCCTTTTTCCGTCAGCAGCTTTTCTGCTTCCTTTCCAGAGAGGTGACCATGGAACCACCTTCGGGAAGGCAGCGCAAGAGTCAGGGAGCCCCGAGTAGCTTCCCTTGCCCTTCGCGAGAGAGGGAGGCTCTCCGGAAATCAGAGCTGCCTCTGAAATGGAGAAAGTCCCCTCTTCTCTTGCAGCAGCAGAAGCCGAGAGCACGTGAAGAGGAAAACGTGCCGACTTTCAAAAGTAGCTCATATTAAGGCAGCTCTTATCCAAGTGGGATGAGGGGTGCTGCCCTGCACCCCCCACTGCTTCCTCACCCGAGCTGGCGCCCGGAGGCTGCCGCCCTGCTCACCTTTCAGAAGTGGGATCTGCACAGTTGAGGGGGTACTTCAACTCGATCACGTCCCCATTCTTCTCCTTGAGCTGTCCGTGGTGTTCCATGTAATACTGGACCAGCTCCGCCAACGTGGCAAACTTCTCCCCCCCGTAGAGGTCATAGTAGTCGCCGGTGTTCTGGATCTTGATGTGAGTGACCGCCCCATTGCGCCTGGCCGGTCCAGACGGTCAAGAGGAAGAGAGAAGGGAAAAGAGAGCCAATGGCAATGAACAGAAAAACTGTCTTCAAGTGGTAGCCTCCTGGGGACAGAGAGCAGGCTGGCTGACTCCAAACCTCTGCCTCCCTATTTAACATTCTTGGATCGGGAGGGAGGGAGGGAAGGAAGGCAGGAGAGAAGGAAGAAAGGGAAGGAAGGAAGGAAGGAAGGAGACATGAGGGAAGGAAGGAAGGACTTAGCTAGGAGCAGCTTGCAAAGATGGATGTTATTCTGTCACTGCTTGCGCTTGCTCTAAGGCAGCCTCCCGAGAAAAGAGACTTAGCTAGTTAAACCATTTACTTTCGTTTTTTAAACCTTTCAGTACAACTATATTAAATTTTAGGAAGTTCAAAGAGGGCTACAGGGTCCTCTCAGCGGACTTACCGGACTGAAAGGGTGAAGTCCCCAGGGTTGCTTTTACTGGGCCGAGCCAGAAAGCTGCCATCAACTCCTCTGGTCAAGAGCAGGTTCTCTGCTTCCACTCCGGTAATATTGGGGTGAAACCATCTGGGAAAAGAGAAAGGGGGAGGGTTTCAAAAGACCACTTTTAATGAGTGAAAAGGGTTTCCTTTAAAAAAAAATACATAGTTTTGATTGAACGTTTTTACAGAGAGATAAAACGTGAAAAGACACAAAGAAAAAGATAAAAAAGTGCAGAAAACAAGACACCTTCCCCATAAAAGATTACTACAAGGATACTACATATCTACTACATAGGTAACAGCAATGAAGAAGCCCCCGACTCATGAGGATTCAGACCATTTCATCTTTTGCATCCAGAGCAGGTGGTCTGCCACTGTCCTGCCACCACCTCTCCAGGGAGAACCGGAAGGGAGTAAGAACCGGCCTCTTGCAAACCAGGATTAAAGTGGGATGAAACAATCCAAATGCAGAGACATCTCCTCGTCTGTGGGAAGCGGATTAAGACCACCAGTTGCTCCCTCACAACCAGCAAGAGAAATGGAGAAGGCAGCTACAACCTCATTGTGGCCTTGTGATAAGAAAGCTGCTCTCGTCCTGAGTTGATCAGCTCTGATTCTGGGGTTTTGCTCAAGGGTGAGGAGTAGGAGTAGGAGGAAGGGGCTGTGGCTGTTTGACTTAGCCGAGCCCGGCCCCTCTCTTCCCTCCGGTGCAAACGGGCTCCATATATCCTCGCAGACCCAGCCACCCACAGTCACACCCTTCTCGACAACTAAGCCAACTAACACCTTGCTGGTTGAAGGTCTTCAGGGGGGCTGAACCTTCAGCTTGTCGTTCACCGCCTCTCCTATCAAGACAGTCTGGCTTATTTTTAGAAATCTGGTTAACTCAGTCAACATTTGGGCTGAATCTGCACTTCCCACTTGAGGATGAAAGCCTGACGTTTCTCAAAGGCCTAGGGAGCTAACTAGGACTGGTAATGGGCATATTTATATTCTTCCATAAAGACATGCAGTTGACAGAGGAACAGGAGCATGTTGGGCAACACCCCCAGGTGATCAAAATTCAGGCACTTGGCAACTGGCATGTATCCGTGACAGTTGCCGGGTCCCTGGGTCATGTGATCACCATTTGTAATCTTCCTAGCCGGCTTCCGACAAGCAAAGACAGCAGGGAAAGCCAGATTTGGTTTATGACTGCACGATTCACTTAACAAGGGCAGTAATTAGCTTAACAAGTGGGACAAAAAGATTGTGACATGGGACAAAATGTAATGTCTTGCTTAACAAGAGAAAATCCGGGCTCAGTTGTAGTGTCAAATTGAGGAATACTTTTATTAAAGACTTTTCGGGATCGCCCTTGGAATACACACGCTCAGAATTTTGAAGGGGGTGGGCTTTTTGATGGCAGGATGACCAGAGCTGCTGCGGAAGTATGAAGGTGGGGCCCTAAAAGGCAGAGCCCAGGGGCAGAAAGCCACTTCCGGGACTGCCGACTAAGGCAGGGATTCTATTTGCAGTGTCGGTGGCAAAGCTCCCCGGTGCTCCAGGTATATTTGTCACCAAGTGGGAAGCAGCATTTTGTCACCAGTTGGAAATAGAAGGCCGCGGGGGTGTCTCAAGTCGGCTGTAGGCCGGTCAGTTATGCCAAGTGGTTCCGGAGACAGGATCAAAAGAGAGCCCACCAAATGGAACGTGCACATTTTCCAGGCTGCCCAATTCTATAGTTGGGGGCAGGCTGGACTCTTTTTTTCAACCCAGGGAGAGAAAGACGATGCTGGGATTGGAGCAGGATTAAGAATGCTTCAAGGGTGGCTGTTAAAAGAATTGCAGAGGTAGGTCTTCCTACAGCCATAATTGGACATTTAGCAAATGTAAAGGCGGCTATTAATTAAAAAAAAAAAGCAACCACAGGATCCAGCGTTAACTATTCACACATCAGATGAACTGAAACATTTCATCTCAAAACACAACCAGCACTCCCTATGCTAACAGATGAACTAACACTGTACTAGTAATACTGGTAATGCATAATTAGGCATAGAAAATGCAGGAAATAACTCTTCTTCCAGGAAAAAAAGGATCCTATTTTTGACAGTCTGGATGGGATTTTATAAAAATTATTCTACTGAAAGCCTCATAATAAACTAATGAAAGAGGTGAGTTCACTGTAAATTTTTGAAAAGAAATTTATGTTACTGTTCTCCTAACTGGTATTCACTTATGTAAGTAGAAGGTTCTGATCACTTTGGGTTGAGAAGTGTGGTTTTATCATAATTGGAATACTGCTGAAAAGTTATTTCTCATTTCTTGGTTCTAGTCTCATACAATTAAAGAAGGACACTGCTTCCCCCCCAACCCCCCGGCAGGCATCAGACTCCCTCTGCGTAGAGCTTCTGTTTTCCTTATCAGGTTAGCAGCTGTGACCAAAAAATTGTTTTATAATTTTATAAATAAATAAATTTTGTTTTATAGTAGCTACCTCCGGTTTCTTAAATTTGCATATCTACCTTATACCAAGTTTACGTTCAAGTTTTGAGAGTTCCCCCCCCCCCACTGTGGCTATTTTAGATTTGCAATACACGTTTCCTGCTTCCTACTGCAAAATAATTCAGGAGATGATTTTAGCTCAAAATTTAAAACATTAGGTTTTAGCAGCCAGGGTCAGAGGTAACCCGTTCCAGGCTTGAAGGCAACAGATAAGGACTATGTCAGACTCTCCCCCCCCCACCAAGCTTGTGCTTTTGGACTACAGCCCCCATTCTCCCCAGCCAGCAGGGCTAGCAGAAACCATGCTGGAACCTGCTGGCTGGGGAGCATGGGAGCTGTGATCGCTTTCCCTTGCCACCAGGGCGAAGGCTTTTAATGGCACCGGGCGGCTGCTTTGTGAACGGAGCCCAAGCAGCCCCAGCCGGGCTCCTCTGGTAGGGCAGGATGGGAACTGTAGTCGCGCACTTCTGGATCCAGCAGCTCAAAGGCTTCCCCGCGCCCCCTCGTCCCCATGGCAACGGCATCGGTGAGGGAGACCAGCTGGGCACCCCTCCCCCCCGAAAGGGCAAAGGGGCGGGGCCTGAGCCTCCCTCCCTCCCAGCCACCCCCCGCTTCTCACCTCCTCGAGGTCATCTTCCCGCCTCCGTCTTTCTCACATGGGGCCCCTGGGTCTCGCGGGGAGACCGGCCCGGGAGGAGGCAAACCGCAATCGGCCCGGGCCCGGCCGCATCCAGGCCCGGGAGAGGGGAAGGCAGAAAGAGACCCGAGGAGCGATCCGTCGCGATGCCTAAGACGTCATCGCCGCGCGACCAGGCCCGCCCGCCTCGGGAAGGGCAAGGAAGGGGCGGAGTCGCCAGCCAGACTGAACACAGAGGCAGGCGCCGCCTAGAACGGCCACACAAGCGGGAAGGCTGTTTCCGCTCTAGGCTGCGACGTCTCTGTAGCAAGCACCTTTTCAGTGCCCAATGAGCCGCTTCTTCTCCAGCCCATTGCATCGGTCTGCCCTGGGCGGGCTTGCTCAGAAAAGAAATAATATGTGTATTCGTTATTATTATTGCACCGCAGGGATTATAATTATTTTATCAAGACATGGGAAAGTGTTTCTGTTACGATAGGCGGCCTTTATATCAATGTTCCTTAAACTTTAAGGTTTGTGGACTTCAACTCCCATAATTCCCCAGCCAGCACTGGAATCAATGAACACTTACTAAGTCCTGTAGGAGATAAAACGTGAATGGCAAGAATGAGGGAGGAAAATCGCTTGAATTCTGAGTTTAGCTCTCGGGAGGGCGAGGTGAACTACTTCTCCCAGAGTGCTTCGGGCTCGCCCGGTGACGTCACGCGCCTGCTCTTCCGCGCCCAGGCCCCGGATATTGCCTCTTTTTCCTTCTGCCCAAGGTAAGGATGGTGCGGCCGTGGCGCTTCCCTCCCGGGGCCCGTCATTCGTATCCACCGCCATCCGCCTCAGAGAACCGCCGGGCCGGGCACGGGCCGGGCAGGGATGCTTCGGGGGCTTTGGCCGGGCGGCGCTGGGCTGCTTCCGCCGGGGGAGAGCGAAAGATCAGGCCGGCGGTATCCCCGAGAAGGCCGGCTGGCTCTCCCCGGGCTGCCGTATTACTCCGAAGCGTCGCGCAGCCACTCCGCTTAGGCACCTGAAAGCGAGGAGGAGGCGCCCGGGAATGGCCACCGCAAAGAGGAAGGTTTTGGTCCCGGGCTTTGGGATGGCCGCCTTCCCTGGCCGGGGAAGCGGATTCCGTCCCTGCCCGCAGCGAGTGACGGATCCCCCAGCCTTGCGACTCTCCTGGGGGGCTCGTGCGTGGGGCGGCAAAGCGGGCCTTTCTGTAGGTTGGGGTTTCCAAGTCGTTGATGAGAAGGCAGGCTTGCCTCCATTAAGGGACTTCCATACACGGCAAGATTCTGCTCCTTGAAATGCAGCTCGTTCCTTTGTGCTTCCTAACTAGGGAGAGTGCCTCTATCTTAAAGTTAAGTTTCCTTCTGGACTGACTGTTTGCAAAAACAGAGTCTGATGTAGCTGTGCAACCGGTTTGCAACATTTTGGAAGTGGAGAATTGTGTCTTGAGAGAGGGAGGGCACCGAGAGGCAGGGTCTAATGGATGTTTTCCTTTTCTTGTCAGATGGCAGGCGAGAAGAAAACCAGGAGGGTCCGGAAGGTCCATGCCAGCCGCAATCCGGTGCTGGCCCGAGGGATCGGGAAATATTCCCGGTCGGCCATGTATGCCCGGAAGGCCATGTACAAGCGGAAATACAACGCGCCAGAGACAAAGGTACAAGGCGACGGGGACTTTAGTGTTAAGGCTGGATAATTAGCCCAATGGATGGGGGTATGGATTTGAGTAAACCATGCTGTCTGGGGCATTCTGGGAGTCGAAGTCTACCCATCTTCAAGTGGCTAAGGTTGAGAAACACTGGATTAATCTATGGAAGATGAGTGTTTCAAAACCAATTGATTTTAATCTGTCGTATCAAAAATGCCATGATGTGGTACCAATTTTGCTGTTGTTTTTTTTCCCCCTAGATAGAAAAGAAGAAGAAAGAGAAGGTGGCAGCCACTGTTACAAAGACTGTTGGGGGGGATAAGAACGGAGGCACCCGGGTGGTCAAACTTCGCAAGATGGTAAGAGCTTGTGGCCTAAATTATGCGGCCGAGAGAGTTCCTGTCCTCCTCTGTGTTCAAGAGGCTGCTTTGATTCTTTAGAGGGTTCTGAATTCAGGCCTTTATTTTCTTCCTTGCAGCCCAGATACTACCCTACAGAGGATGTTTCCCGTAAGCTCCTAAGCCATGGCAAAAAGAATTTTGCCCTCCACAAGAGGAGGCTGCGGACTTCAATTACCCCAGGAACGGTGCTGGTCCTTCTCACTGGCCGCCACAGGGGCAAGGTAATGGGCCTGTGGTGCTCTTGTCGGGAGCATTCGGGAGGCAGGCAGGCAGAGATTCAGACGACTAACTCTCTCCCCTCTTCTTTTTGGATTTCCAGCGTGTGGTTTTCTTGAAGCAGCTTGGAAGTGGACTGTTGCTTGTAACAGGTAAGCTCATCTTATATTTATAGCCTCCGTTTCTTTTCTGTGATCCTTCTTAGTGTTTTTAATTTCTAACGTTATACCATTCCACATAAGAAGTCCTAGTAAAGAAAAAAGAAAAAAAGATAGCAAACAATTGTAGTAAAAGATCTGTCTCCTAAAGGAGGAGGATCTTTACAAGTTGGGAAGAAATAAAGAGTTTTCTGCCAGTTTGAGGTCTCCGTGTACATTCTTTTTTGTCTTCTGTTTCAGGGCCCTTGGCTCTCAACCGTGTCCCTCTGCGCAGAGCTCACCAAAAGTTCATCATTGCCACTTCGACGAAGGTTGATATCTCTGGGGTCAAAGTTCCAAAGCATCTCAGTGACGTTTATTTCAAGAAGAAGAAGCTGCGTAAGCCCAAACATCAAGAGGGCGAAATTTTTGACACTGAAAAAGTGGTATGTATAGAACTATGGCCTTGAGCGTGCATCCAAGATTGTATTCTGCATAACTCAAAAGCCAACCAGGAGGCAATCTGGAACCTGTAGACAGATTTTCAAGATCATTCCAAGACTTTGCATTTAAAAAAGCAGATTAAATAGAAACTTGTACGAGGACATCTTTAATATGTTTCTTGACTTTTTTTGTCTAAATAATGTTTGCATCAAAATCTGAAGAATAGTTTTTAGGTAATACAGCTGTATCCAAGAGGGCGTTAGGAAAGCAAAACAGATTTATTTTGGATGCACTGTACAATAATGTTGGCAAGGAGAAGGGGGTGGCTGTTTAGAGAGCCTTTAGAAATCTCAATGGGGAAGGCCAGGAACACCCCTGTAGTACAGCCACAGGAAAAGGAACAAACGACTGAATTAGAATTTCTGTTTTTCCAGAAATACGAGATTGCAGATCAGCGTAAGGCAGACCAGAAGACGGTGGACTCCCAGCTTCTGCCAATCATCAAGAAGGTCCCTCAGCTCCGAGGCTACCTGCGCTCAACCTTTTCACTTTCCAATGGAGTTTATCCTCACAAATTGGTTTTTTAAATAGTCTGAAAATACAGTAAAAAAATTTTTGGGGGAAACTTACTAAAAGCTCTGCTAGTTTTATTTTATAGTATTATATATTGGTTTGTCTGCACATAAGCAAACATTTGTTTTATGGTTGAAAACGTGAAGGGGTACTTGGCTGATGTTTTGTGTCTGATCGTAGTTTTCTTTCTTGAGATGGGATGAGAATTTGCCATCACCGTTTACAGGAGGTTCCTCTCCTCTTCCCATCCTCTGAGTACTCGGGACTGGTTTGAAGCAGTCGTGGGCAGAATTTGCACCTACTCGGTTTAGTAAATGGAAGGAAAGCTCTGTAGGCAACTGCTTCAGAGGTCGTCCCTAGGCTTCGCCAACTGCTAGTCTATGCTTCAGTGCCAGTGGGGCAAAGCTGTAGCTGTGCTGAAGTCCTGACCCAGCCTCAGATCGTTTTGAGGTATTTGTGTGTCCATGTTCAACTTGCTTAGTAAATAAGTGATGTGTGTGTGTGTGTGTGGCGTTGGTCAGGAGAGGGAGCTCGTGTGCAATGCTTGAATCACAGCCTTACAAAGGCACTAAATTTTCAACCAAAAGACCAAATCGCCTTTTAAAAGGCAATTGTGTTAATTAAAGATTACATGAGGAAAATAATGTTTTGTGATTTGAAATCTGAGAAAGCCATAATGCCACAAGCAATTTAAGAAGACGTAATCCAGTTTCCCCAAATAGGTGTCCCCTCAACAGATGTCAGTCTGAATCTTACCTTTTGGGTTCGTTTGCTGGATCTCTAGCTCATTTCATGTGTTGCACTAAGACCAAGCTATCGTGTTTCTATTGGATTATGGTCCAGAAGGTTGTGGGAATCCAGCCGGTTACTAACTTAACAGGCTACCATTTAGAAGACTACAGTGTGTGGGGCAGGACCAGCCATTCTGGTATAGCTAATACAGCAATCATTTTGGGCGGATTGCCCCTCCAGCTGGCTGTCAGTTTCACAGAAACTCAGGACCATGACAACATTTGAGCATGCTTTTATTTCATTTATTTAAAGCATTTATATAGGCACCCATCTTCTGCCAAACTCTGGTTCTGCAGAAGAGCCTGCAGAGGTTTATCGGTCTCGTGGGAGGGAGTCTTGCCAAGCGAGCTATTCGTGATTCCTTTCTGGATGTACGATGAAGGGCCGCAAGGAGCTTGACCCACTTTGGGTTCCCATCAAGTCAGGCACAAGGCAAAGCAGGCAGTTCGAGCTTTAAAGCAGGCTGGGCTCATTCAGAGGCCAAGGCTCCTGCTGCTGAAGCCCCCGGTCAGAATAAACTGGGTTAAAGTGAGAATGGTGGTTAAAACAGCTGTTTATTTAGGGTTCACAGTACGTGTTTGCTGTGATAACGGATATAACAAACCGCAGCACAGGTTTAGTGGGTTGCTGACTTCAGCTGTTCAGTGGGGAAATTGGTCAAAGTGAAGTCCGTGCTAAAAGCGCTCAGCGCCTTCCCTTGCTCCGAGAGCTGCGCCTGGCAGGCTGCCTCCCCAGACAGCAGAGCCTGTTCTGCTGCTTTGTGTGGGTGAGTGCTCAGCAAAGCAATCTGAAAATGACAGGAAATCGCCCTTCAGTTTCCTGTAGGCCAGTCAACGGAGAGGCAGGAGACCGGATGAATTGGACCAAGCCATGTTGTTGGCTGTTGGCAGTGCTAATTGCTCCCATGGTTAGGCAACTAGGATGAGTGCTTCTGGTGTCGACTA